AACCACTAATTCGAAAAGATGTATGGACCCCTGTGTGTATTGCAGCATTATCTACAATAGCCAAACAATGGAAGCAGCCCAAATGTCCATGGATAGATGAATGGATAAAGAAGAGGTGGTATGTATATACAATGGAATTAAATTTTGCCATTTGCAACAACATGGATGGAACTGGAGAGTACAATGGTAAGTGAAATAAATCAGCCAGAGAAAGACAAATACCATATGATTTCACTCGTATGTGAAATTTGAGAAACACAGCAAACAAAGAAAAAAAGGGACAAACCAAGAAACAGACTTAACTATAGAGAACAAATGGATGGTTACCAGATTTGGGGGGGAATAGGTGAAGGTGATTAAGAGTACACTTATGAAGAGCACTGAGTAATGTACAGAATTATTGAATCAATATATTATACACCTAAAACTAAACAGAACACTGTATTTACATATACGGGAATTAAAAAAATTAAAAATTAAAAAAATCATCCCCTAACCCAAGGTCATCTGGGTTCCCACCTATGTTACTTTCTAGCAGTTTTGTAGTTTCGTGCTTTACATTTAGGTCTATGATCCATTTTAATTTTTGTAAAAGGTGTGAGGTCTATTTCTAGATTCATTTTCTTGACTGTGAATATCCAGTTGTTCCAGCACCATTTGTTGAAAAGACTAAACTCATTTAATTTTCAAAATAAGCTTTGAGACACACCCTGTTATTTATCCCCATTTTTCAGATAAGCAAACTGAGGCTTAGAGTGGTTTTATAAATCACCCAGGGCAACACAGCTAGTACTTGACAGGGATCTGAACCCAGGTAACCTGACCCCAGAGTCCATGCACTCAATCCCTATCTATAATAGTCTCTTTGTCATAGGTTTGTTGTGAGGACTGGAGATAGTGCTTAGCACATAGTAGGTGTTCAGGAAGCAGTAATGATAGCATGTCCAACCCAACCTGCAAGGTTTCACTCAATACCAGGTCTCAGAGCAACTTTATTTCACTCCTCCAGCCAAACCTGCCACCCATCATAGCACTATCTCCTCCTAGGGATGACAGCATGGTGTACCCTACTCACCACAGTCACAGCACACTTCCATGTGAGTCCCGCTGAGAGAGGCTGCATGTCTGCTTTCTCAGTGTCCCCCAGAGTGCCGGGTGCTGCACTTGGCAGCCTCTCAGTAAAAGTCTGTTTAATTGAGTTTGGGTGGCCTGCTATTCCTTTATGCAAAATGCACATCCTGGGTGTGGTCTATTCCTCAGGATCTCTGAGCTCTTACTCAGCCCTTTGCTCCTGGGCCCCCCTGCTCCAACCTTCCCTGATCTGTCAGGTTGGGCCACCCCGGTCTACAGAAGTTCTCAGCTGGGCTAACTATGCAGAGGGCTGCCCTTCCTCCTGCACCACCACGCTCAGTTTCTCTCACATTCCAGGGTACCCCACTCCAGTAAGGACACTGCCTGTAGAAGTGTCTACCTCTCCATCTCCAAACTCAAGACAATAGCACCTATCTTGGAGGCCTGCTCTCTAAACACGTCCGGCCCCTCCCAGGACGTCTAAAATCCCTTCTTGGTGAGAGCAGTTCACTGGATGTTTACAGGACATGACAACCAGGGGCAGACCCCCTTCCAAAAAAGCTACTAAAAGGGGTGCCTGGGTGGCTCAGTCGTTAAGCGTCTGCCTTCGGCTCAGGTCATGATCCCAGGGTCCTGGGATCGAGCCCCGCATCGAGCCCCGCATCGAGCCCCGCATCGAGCCCCGCATCGAGCCCCGCATCGAGCCCCGCATCAGGCTCCCTGCTCCGCGGGAAGCCTGTTTCTTCCTCTCCCACTCCCCCTGCTTGTATTCCCTCTCTCGCTGTGTCTCTCTGTCAAATAAATAAATAAAATCTTAAAAAAAATAAAAAGCTACTAAAAGGTGTTAATCAGCATTGTTGGTCTCCTTTTGGGAGTGAATGAATGCCCCTGAGGACTGTCTCCTGGGCCCTGGTACACCCCTCAGGCAGCCCCACTAAGGCAGGGCTCTCTCAGACCAAGCTACCACAAGCCCGTGTCCACCTTGGGGAGGACATTCTGCCTGTGTCACCTTGGACATGCAGGCAGTGCCTGCTTTGGACTGAGCCATCTGGCACCATACAGCAGCGCCCTGTGTCCGCCTCTGCAGAGCCACCCTGGGAAGATGTGACCAGCAAGACTCCAATGCTTCCTCCGGACAGCACGGCCCTGGGCAGCACCCTCCTGGACACAGCCCACGGGGTCCAGTGCCGGCCCTGGAAGGAACCTGTTCTCCACAGGCGGGCACCGTGCCTGCCCTGGGCGTGCCCAGCGGCCTCCGGCGCCCCGTGCACTCAGGAGCTCCAGGCGGGGCCTCTGGGACGCGGACAGAGGGCTCGCGGAGCGGCGCCGGTGCCCGCATGGCTCGTTCTGGAGGCGCGCCCAGCGGCTGCCAGGAAGGCCGGGCGTTTATCCCCGGAGCCGCCAGCAGGGAGCTCCCTTTCGGCTCGGCGCGCGCGGCTGCGGGGGGCGGCGCTGCTCTGCGCCGCGCTGCGCTCCAGCCCGGACCGGGCCGGGGCCGCTGGATGCCGCGTCTCCGCTTCTGCTGCCTGCCGGGCGGGCTCCGGCGGCCGGTGAGCGCGGGGCGGCGGGGGCGGCCGCTCGGGGACCGCCCGGGCCCGGGGAGGCGGGGGTGGGGGCGGCGGGGCGGGCTCGGGCCGGGAAGGCGGGAGGGTGGAGGGGCCCGCCGGCTCCTCCTCCCCCACTGTCCCCTGGAAGCGGCGGCCCGGACTCCCGGCTCCGGTCCCCGGCTGCGCGGCGGAGCTCGGCGCCCAGGAACCGGGGCCGACCGGGAGGGGCGGGGAGGGGAGCTCTGGCCGCCTTTGCCAGCTCGGGGGCGCGCGGAGGCAGGGCAGGGTGGCCCTCGGTTTGGGGGAGGGATTGAGGGCTTGGGGGAGCCCAGGTGGCCCCGAGCTGCGGGGTGGAGGCTGCAGCCTCCGGGATAGGGGGCTTCTCGGGGCCAGGCCCAGGCCCCCGCCCCCCAGTCCGAGCGAGCGAGCGAGCGAGGCTCTGAGGAAAGCAGCGGGGACAGCGAGCACCTCGGCCGAGCCCTTTATCCCTCCCAGCGGCTGCACCCTTTCACTGCCAGGCCGACAGCGGGCTCCTCTCAAAGGAGCAGCTGCTAGACGGCTGGCAAAACAATGGAGACCCCGCTTCCCCAGACCCCCTCCCCGGGCGCAGAAGATGGGGGTGAGTGAATGGTAGGTTTGGGGATTAGGGAGTGCTGGCTGTCCCCTGTGACTGGCTGCTCACCTCACCTTTCCCTGCAAAGGGGTGGGGTGTGTGTGGGAAGGTCGGACGGCCTGCCCCAGGCCTCTGGGAGAGACTGCCCTGACGCCCCGCCCTGCTAACCTGTCATGCCAGTTGTTTCGCCAATGGGAAGGGGAGGTGGTAAGGTTAGCTGCTCCCCACCGCCGTGTTGGGGGGGGGGAGCGGGCTGCTGCTTGGTACCAAGCATGGTGAGGAGTGGGTCATGTTCCTGGCTGAGATAAGGCCTGCAGGGGCATACCACACATTGGGGCTTTGTTGGGGGCAGGGAGGAGGGATGGGGATGTCACCCTTTTGCAAGGCACATGTGTCCTGCTGATTAGTTAGAAAGGCTGCCAGCCAGAATGAACTGGGCTGGGGGGTGGATGGGGGTGGGGGAAGGCAGACAGTCTGTTTTTTAAGTGGTAGTCCTTTTGCCTGGTCACTGGGCCAATGGGGCATGGGTTTGGCAGTGTCCTTTTGGTTTGTGTTTGTGTAGAGAGGCCCGGGACAATGCTTCCTGGGAGGAGCTCTCCTGCCTAGAGCCTTCCTGCCCTCAGATGGACCCCCAAAATTATGGAATCGGATTCCCTCCCCCGCTTCACCTGGCCAGTGAGTCAGGCTGGTTTGTGTGGGCTCATTCGTCCTTTGGAGTACCTGGCATGTCTCCCCCAAGGAGAGTGAACTGTCTGAAGTATGTATGCAAGTGAGTCCATGCTGGAAGGGAGGGAAGGTCAAGTTAAGAGCGAGATCACCTTAGCAAGACACTGAACCTAGGGGGTCAGGCTGCCTTTCCATATGCTTATGAGATCTGGAGCCCTTTTCTTGGGCAGGTTGGTTTCCTGTTGTCATGGCAATGGGCCAGGCCTTGTCTAGCTTTCCCCACCCTTTTGGTTCAGAAGCTACTTTCTATTTGGGGATATTGAAAGTTGCTCTCCTGAGGTCTCTGGCTTCCTGACAGACCTCACTGGCTCTTTGTCAATGGCCTGCCACCTCCTCAGCTTCCCCTCTGCCCTTTTGTGATGAGGACTTTCCAGGAAACATCCTCCTGGTTGCTGGACATGACTAATTATATATAGCCTCGGGTGGAGGTGTGCTTGTCCATTTGGGGTTGAGGACATTGGGGTTGGGGCCTCAATTCCAGGAAGACGATGGGGGACGCTATTGTGTTGGAGGGTTAGGGCAATGAGAAGGGTCGCAGGTGGGGGTGGGAGGGATAGAATGCCGGTGGTCACTTCCTTTGAAAGCTTTGAACTTTGAACAGTTGATGACCTGGTGCCTGGCAGTTCTGAGTATCTAGTTTGTTTATGCTTCCTAGGCCTGGCTCAGGTGCCAGGGTGTGTGCCTGAGGGCTTCCTCGGGTGTCCCAGGCTCTCCTCAGGAGCCCTCACGTGGATTGTCCCCTTCCTGACTCCTGCCTGGTCCCTCAGCCTCACTCCCTGGCTGTCAGGGGCAGCCGGGCTATTGCCTGGAGCCCCCTTCCCCGGCCCAGCTTGAGGCTGCCCTTTAAGGGGTGCTTGTGTCTTCAGAAATTGGGCCTGAAACCTCCGGGGTCCCCCAGAGGCCGGTCCCCCAAGGTGGACGGGGTGGGGCAGAACTGAAAGGGAGAATCCACCCTACTCGGGTGGAGCAGGGAGTTGCTGGAACTCAGGAAACCTTGATCCGCACTTGGTGTGTCACAGGTCTCCAGAGCAGCAGGGCTGTTCTTGTTCCTTCAAACCCGAGATCTGTGCCCAGCCAGACGCCCCTCACCTGAAGTGGATGCCCCGGACTGGAACTCGATCATCCATGTGAGCTGGGTCCTGTTGGTGGCTCTGGGCCCCAGGCCTTATCCCAGGCTTCTCCCAGGTGTGATGGGTAAAGCTGAGGGGCTCTGGCCTGGTGTAGTTTAAAGGTTAGAGGGTGTGAGAGTGGTTCCCCCAGGACTGGGGCTGAGGGCTTGATGGGGCTTTGAAGTTCTTCTTTGGGTCAGGCTCCTGGGTGCTTTAAGATCTGTTCACTCTGCATCTCACTCCCCATCACCATTTGTCCCCTGAATTCGAGAGTTGGGTTGGGAGCTGGATTGGGAGGGGCGGGGAGCAGAACTGGAAAGCCTCCACACCTCTCCCCACTTCACTTTCCTTGAGGTGGGAACTGTGTGGCTTATAAATTATCCGTATTCCCTTGATGGTTCAAATAGCTTACAGTCAGGCAGGAGTTTAAACCGTGGATTGAGGGTTTTGTTTTTTTTTTAAGATTTTATTTATTTGACAGAGAGAGACACAGCGAGAGAGGGAGCACAAGCAGGGGGAGTAGGAGAGGGAGAAGCAGGCTTCCCGTAGGGTAGGGAGCCCTATGCAGGGCTCCATCCCAGGACCCTGGGATCACTACCCAAGCCACAGGCAGATGCCCCATGACTGAGCCACTCAGGCGCCCCGTGGACTGAGGTTTTTAGAGGGCCCAGGGCCCTTTCTCTCTGCTAGGCACTTTACCATCACTTACAAGGGATTATTTTTATTATTCTCGGGTATTCAGAGATGTTGGACGACGGGCTCAAGGTCACACAGAAAGTCAGAGGCAGAGCAGGATTAGAACCTGCAAATCAGCGTTGAGCAGAATACCTCTCCAGCAAAGGCAAGGGCTTGGGGCCAAGTCTGAACTCTCAGGTCCACGAGAGGGGAGAGGACTTGCTCAAGGTCACACAGAAGGAGGGGGCAGTGTTAGCTGAGTTTAGCGCCCAGCCGGCTGCGGCAAACCCCAGCGTGGAGCCGAGGAGGTGCACGTGGAAGAGCAGCGGGGCACCTGGCCGCGCCGCTGGCACCTCTCCCGCTGTCGTTCCTCCCGGGCCCTGCGAGACCGCTGCGTTCCAGGGGAGACGGTATCGCGGCGGCAGGCGCCGCGGGGCTGCCTGGAAGTGCTCGGGGCCGCGGGTTCCGAGGGAGCGGGAGCCGAAGCCGGAGCCGGAGCCGGCGGGCGGCCGGCTGATGTCATGTGAGAAGCGTGCAGTCGAAGCGAGCACACCTGGAGCCAGATAAGCTCCGTGTGACCTGGCAGTGAGTCACGGGGTGCTGCGGAGCTCTTAGCACGACCGGCCGGGAAGAGGCTCGGCGGCAGCGGCCAGTGTCACCCTGCGCCACTCGGTTGGGGGCACCTGCCCCCGCCTCCCGGCCGGGGCGAGCCAAGTACTGTGCGAGCCCCGCCGGGTCACCTTTGCAAGCCCTCCGTTGCGGGGCCGGCGCCGAAGAAAGGCTTCTGGGCTGTAGGAAACGGCCGCTTAGGGAGGTCAGAGGCCAAGGGAGAGAGGCCGGCTCTCTTGGGAAAGTATTTCCTTTGTATTTATTTGTGAGTGTGGTTTGGGAGTGGGGTGTGGGGGACTGACCCTTTTAAGTGTCCACCCACAGCAGCCAAGTCTGGGCGCCTTTCTTGGGATTCCAACGTTATAGTTTCCATTTCCTGGGGTTTCTGCTTTGCCAGCTGCAGGGTGACCCATTTAAATCTGTCCCCTCTTAAAGCCACAAGACACTAGTGAGATCTATTTTAACCAAGTCCCCCAAGTCACTGAAACTTTTCCGAGGCGCGAGATGGCAAGCCTTGAACTTCCCGTTGCAAATTTGGTTTATAGCCTTCATGCTAAATGGATTGTCAAGTCTTTCTTTTTTTCTTTTTCTTTCTTTTTAATCTTTAAAAATCGCAAACGTAACATATGCTGGGAAAAGGTTTAATCCCTAGGAAGTCTATTAGATAAAAAGCTAAAGTGGTACTACCCCTGCTTGCCCCAACTCCACGGAAACCACAGATAAAATTTGGTAATGAATATTATATACATGGATATATATAAAATACATGTTTATTATATATTTTTAACATGTTACATGAATACAATTTAATATAAATATATATTTTTTCCTGTGGGAAATAAAGAGCATACAGAAAAGTAGAAGAAATATTATACATAATCCCACTATCTAAACCCCTCGGCCTAGATACACACACACACCCCCACCAGCTAAATATTCTCATTGTAAAAAGTTAGAACAATATAGATGAAACACAGATCTGCTATGACTCTTCTAAAATCCCTATCTCTTCCCCAAAGCATACATTTTTCTATGCATCTGGAAATATTGCACATACATGATGTGCACGGATATATATGCACACATACACATAGTTTAAAATATATATAATTATAAAAATTATATATTATCCGGCAACTTGGTTTTTTCACTTAACAATATAGTATTGAATCTTTCCAGGTGAGTATATACAAATCTCCTTCATTCTTTTTAATAACTGCCCAGTTCTATGATTTAGCTATTCCTCCAGTGACGGACCTTTATATTGACAGAGGTTTGCAATCACAAACAGTGATGCAAAGATTAGCCATGTTTATTGTGTGAACATATCTGTCGAGGTCCTGTATGTGGAATTGCCTAGTCTAAGAATATGTACATTTAAATATTTTCATAGATACCACCAGTTTGCCCTCCTCACACCAATTTATGCTCCCAGCAACACACATGAGCTACCCTGCTTCCTGTCTTCTATTTGATTGATGTTATTAATAATGGTAGTTTTTACTAAACGGCTAAGTGGACAACAGTATACCTCTGTGTTCTTTCATGTGTCTGCGGATGACTGAGGCTGCAAACCTGTTCTTGTCTGTTGGCCATTCGTATTTCTGCAGCTAAGAATTGCCTGCAGTTAGTCTTGGCAATAGGTACATGGGGCCTCTGGACTTGAGCCAATGTGATCCAGCCTGACCATGTGCTCACAGAATTGCCTTCACTTCTTTGGGCTGTACTTTGCATATACAAAGGTTCTCTCCAGCATTAAGATTTTATGTTTGGACTTATTTTAGTCACACTTGGGCTAAGGTACACACTTTGCGTACCGTATGCTGTCCACTGTCCCATTTAGATGGTAAGAATGTGCCCTGCTGTGACTGAGTACCGTTCTTGAGGGCCTGCTCTGGGCTAGGTGTCATATGGAGGGCTTATAGACCAATTTCTTTTCTTTTTTTTTTTTTTTAAAGATTTTTTTTATTTATTTATTAGAGAGCGAGCAAGAGAGAAACAGCATGAGAGGGGAGAGAGTCAGAGGGAGAAGCAGGCTCCCCGCTGAGCTGGGAGCCCGATGTGGGACTCGATCCCAGGACCCCGGGATCATGACCTGAGCCGAAGGCAGTCGCTTAACCAACTGAGCCACCCAGGCGCCCTAGACCAATTTCATTTAGTCCCCATGCCTTATGTGGTAGGTGCTGTTATTATCCCCATTTTACAAATGGGAAAACAGAGGCACAGAGGTATGAAGTGACTTTCCCAAGATTGCATAGCTATTACCTCGGATTTGGTCCTAGGTTTGCTACCTGACATCTGAAGCCGAAGCTCTTTCATTAGTTTCATTTATCTTTATTTATTTAATTTACTTTTTTTTTGAGGTAGGGGAGAGGCAGAGGGAGAGAGAGAACCTCAAGCAGGCTCCACACCCTGAGACAACGGGGCTCCATCCCACGACTCTGAGATCATGACCTGAGCCAAAATCAAGAGTCAGACACTTAACCAACTGAGCCACCCAGACATCGGCATATCTTGCCTCAAATACTTTAGTATATATATATATATCATTAACCAGACTTCAGTATTTGTTTACAGTTCTTTTTTCTTTTGAGTGAATATTTCACATAATGAAATGCACAAGTCTTATGTGCGCTATTTGATAACTGTTGACACACGTATACTCCTGTCAACCCAACTCCCTATCAAGATAATGTAATATGAACATCACTCCAGAAAGTTCCCTCCTGCCCTTTTTCAGGCAATTCCCACCCCTACCCCCGTCCTCACCATCCAGAGGTAATCCGTGTTCTGATTTTTTTCACCTAGCTTAGTTTTATCTGTACACATCTTCCTTGGCTTACCTCCTTCCTGCTAAACCCATCGTAACTTGAAAATACCGTAAGTTGAGAATGCATTTAATACACCTAACCGACCGGCCATCATAGATTAGCCTAGCCTACTTTAAATGTGCTCAGAACACTAATATTAGCCTACAGTTGGGCAAAATCACCTAGCACAAAGCCCATTTTATGATTAAGTATTGAGGATCTCATGCAATTGGTCGCACACTGTGCGTGCAGAAAGTGAAGACAGAGTGGTATAGCCTGGGTATAGAATAGCTGTAAGTGGATCAGTTGTTTACCCTTGTGATCATGCGGCTTGCCGCCACTGCCTAGTGTCACAGGAGAGCCCCTTACTGCATATTGCTAGGTCAGGAAAAGATCCAAACTCAAAATGTGAAGTATGAGTTATACTGAATGCAAATTGCTTTCACATATGCATATCGTGAAGTCAAAAAAATTGTTAAGTTGAACCGTTGTAAGGCAGGGACCGTCTGTACTAGAACCTCATATAAATAGTACCTTACCAGTATGGTACTCTGTTGTCAAAGCCTTCTTTGGCTGTCACTTGACATAATGTTTTTGAGATTCATCCCTGTTGTGTGTCTCAGTAGTTGCTTCCTTTTTCTTGCCAAGTAGTATTCCATTCTATGAGTATGTAAATTGTTTCTCCCGTTGATGAACTGATAGATGCATAGTTGAGTCAAATGGTCTTTGCCCTCAAGACGCTTTCTGTCTTAAAGTAATAAGGCATCTGAGTTGACCAAGTCGATTGTACTTTGCTCTGATTTGGGGAGCAGCAGGGTCCAGATGATGTAGGTACATACCCTAATTTATATACATACCTTTCCTCCACGTACAATTAGGAAAGGCCTCCTGGAGTAGGGTGAGGGGAGAAAGGCAGAGAAGGAGGTCAGAAAACTGTAAGGTTCCCTTCACTGGAGAGGGTAAGAGATGAGTGAATGAAGAGCGCAGAATGAAGAGTGGAAAAGTGCTGATGTCATTGCTGCTAGAGTCTTTGGACCTGAGGACAGGAGATGCTGAAAGGGCCAAGGTCTACAGGAAGGTGATGGAGCCCCGTGCCCGGCAGAGTGGGCTCTGAGGAGCAGAGGAACAGCAACACCTGTACCAGGGTCTGACCCTGGACAGCGAAGTTGCAGGTGGCTCCAGACAGGTGGCACAGGAGAAAACCCAGGTCACAGCCAGGCAGTTGTAGGGATGACAGTGGGGAAGGGGTACCTTGTGAGCTGTGTGCATGGCTTTGGCAGGACAGGGGTGCTGAGGGGAGGGCTGAAATGGACAGCCTCCGAAGGCTCCAGGGTTGGGATGAGAGGGGTAACTTTGGCAGAAAGTTAATAAATAACTTGTGTCCACAAGAGACTTAGATATTTGGAATTTTCGAGCTAGAAGAGCCGTAGATCATCCAGTCCAACCTTGAGCAAAGTGACGGGCTCAAGGTCCCGTAGCGATCTGTCGGCAGATCCAGGCCTAGATAGCGGACCCACTAACCTTGCTGGCCAGTGGCTGCCCTCCTCCCCCATGCTGTTGCTCTAGCAGTGACCGCGTGTGGTTCCTGCCTGCCTCAATGGCAGTGAGGGGCAAGCCTTGGCCAAGACAGGGATTTCCATGAAATTACTTCTCAGGAACCTTTCCAGCCCAAAGATTCTAGAATTCTGGGGCCTGTTTTCCGTTGATACTGCTCAGATGTCTAGCCCCCGGCAAAGAGCCAGGATTGGGTAAGGATTGCAGAGTAAGAACTGAAGACCAAAAGAGGTGTCTTGGTGGGATAGCGTGGTAGGCAGTTGGGTTCTCATGGTTGGGCTGAGGCTGAGGCCAAGAGACTCAGTTGTCCTCTTCCAGTCCCCAGGGTGGGTTTCTTTCTTCATTTCCCATACAGCTGCCTTTGGAGCCATCTTCTAAATCAGCCCCCTTTTAAATACATAGAGAGAGAGAGAGAGAGAGAGAAAATGCGAGCATGGGGGCAGGGTAGGTAGGGGGAGAGGGAGAGAGAGAATCTTAAGCAGACCCTGTGTTGAGCCTGGAGCCTGACACAGGACTCCATCCCACAACCCTGAGATCATGACCTGAGCCACAATCAAGAGTCGGACGCTTAACCGACTGAGCCACCCAGGCGCCCCTAAATCAGCCTTTTAAGACAGTGCAGGAAGTGATGGGTGAGGGCGGTGACCACCGGAAGATCCCACGTCCTGGTATATGGTAGGTCTGTGCCACACCCCATCAATATTCAGGAGGAGAGAGAGAGAGAGAGACTCCCCAGGTCAAAATAGAGCCCTGAAGAGAGGAGGCCTGCTGTCAGGTTCTCCCCCACCCCAAATCAGTCCAGAGTCAGCTGCACGGGGCTGCCCCTGGCTTCACACTTCTTGGACCCTACCTTTCCTGTCTGCCTACTCCCGGGTACTGTGAATGGAGCATTTTGAACCAAAAAGGTCGGAGGGAACTTTGTTTTACTAGGTAGAAATGGGTCAGAAGGGGCAAGGGGTGCCTGTTAGGTCCACAGGGAGCTAGTAACTGGGCCAGATTCCCCACCTCTTTGGATATGCTCTATAATTAAAGATTTCTCTAGAATTGCACTGCCCAGTTCAATAGCCAGTAGCTGTTGAATACTTGAAATGTAGTTAGTCTGAATTAAGATGTGCTCTGAGTGTAAAAATCACACTGGATTTTTATGCAGACTTCATATGGAAAAGAGAATGTAAAATATCTCAATATTTTTCATGTAGATTACACGACAATATCTTGGATCTATTTATGTGAAAATATATCATTAAAGCTAATTTCACCTGTTTCTTTTTACCTTTTTTAGTGTGGCTGCTAGAAAATTTTAAATCACACCTAAGCCTTGAATTGTATTTCTGTGAAGAGCACTGCTCTAGGAAGGATACACTGATCTCTCAGGAGCCCCGTGGGTCAGGGTGCTGGGCGGGGAGGAGGCGATTAGTCAGGGCCACCAGGACCCTTGGGAGTTCCTGGCCTTGATGTCTTCCTAGGCATTGTATTGGGGCCAGGGGTCCCTCTCAGTAGGTTGGGGAGCCTGGAGGGCCTTGGCTTGGTCGTGGCGGTGGGGTACACGGGGAAGTCCTCTCCAGGGCCTCGCAAAAGGTCGTTGCTGGAAGGAGTGAGCTTGTCGGTCCTGTGTCTCGAACTCAGAGGGGGAGGACTTCTTGGAGAGAGAAGAAATTGCACTTAATTTCTAATTAGGTGGTATGGCCTACTTCTGCTCCTTGTTCCCTGCTGGTTAGAACTTGTTCCCTGGCTTGAACCCCACCCCCGCCGGGTCTTTCTCAGTCCTGTCCCCAAGTGGGTGTGCGCTGAGGTGGGAGTAGGCTGGCACCGTGGGTGCAGGCGCCCCGGACCTCGCTTGTCTCTCACGCTGCCACAACTTTCTTCCCGAGGCTATATTTAGTTGTTGGTCTGGGGAAAAGGATATGAGTTTAGGATCCTGTTTATCCAGCAGACCCCACCCCCACCTCTCAGCTGTCTGTCCTCTGTTCAGTCTGGAACTTTCCCTTCCCTCCCTGCTTCACTTGGGGCCCCAGGGCCCCAGAGAGGAAACAGTATTTGTCGGCGCTGAGCCGTGGGACAACAACGTATACTTAATTTTCTGTGCCCTGTTTTCTCATTTGTAGAGATAATGACACCTGCCTTGCAGGGATGCCGTGGGGCGCAAACAAGAGTGTGGGTAACGCGCGTGGCAAGTGGAAATCACGAAAATGAGGGTTGATGCCTTGAGGTCTTCTGCCAGGCAGTGGCTAAGGCTGCTTCTGTGTCCCTTTCCTTCTTCCTGTGTGTGGAATCTTTTTTTTTTTTTTTTTTTTTTTTGACAGAGAGAGAGAGACAGTGAGAGAGGGAACACAAGCAGGGGGGAGTGGGAGAGGGAAAAGCAGGCTTTCGCAGAGCAGGGAGCCCGATGCGGGGCTCCATCCTAGGACCCTGGGATCACGACCTGAGCCGAAGGCAGATACTTAACGACTGAGCCACCCAGGCGCCGCCTGTGTGTTGAGTCTTAAGTCAGGCCCCAGGTCGGCTTGATGGCACCCTCCTGCCAGGAGGTCAGAGCTCCCAGGAGCCACCGCGGTGCACACCTGTCAGGGATGAAAGGCGATGACAGACTTTGGAGTCTGCGCTTTTACAACCTTATCGAAACCTCAGGTTTCCTTATTTGTAAAATGGGGGTAATCACAGACCTTCCCATAGCAGTGCTATGAGGATTAACTTAACAGAGATGGTATTGTATCAAGCCGAGCACCTGGCACAGAGTAAGCCCCCTCTCAGTGAAGGGGAGCTGCGCTCATTCGTTGGCCTTGTCTGGCCTGGAGACACAGGAAGAGGCTCTGCTCGAATCATCTTTCTCTCTCTCTGCTTCTGTTTGCAGCAGCGAGGCGGGGTACGACGAGGGCCCTGTGCTAAGCACCCGTGATCCTCCGGGGGTGCCCCCCCCCAAAAGCAGTACCCCACCATGTTTAACCTAATGAAGAAAGATAAGGACAAAGATGGTGGGCGGAAGGAGAAGAAGGAGAAGAAGGAGAAGAAGGAGCGAATGTCGGCGGCGGAGCTGCGGAGCCTGGAGGAGATGAGCCTGCGTCGCGGCTTCTTCAATCTGAACCGCTCCTCCAAGCGTGAGTCCAAGACACGCCTGGAAATCTCCAACCCCATCCCCATCAAGGTGGCCAGTGGCTCCGACCTGCACCTGACCGACATCGACTCCGACAGCAACAGGGGCAGTGTCATCCTGGACTCGGGCCACCTGAGCACCGCCAGCTCGAGCGATGACCTCAAGGGCGAGGAAGGCAGCTTCCGCGGCTCTGTGCTGCAGCGGGCAGCCAAGTTCGGCTCCCTGGCCAAGCAGAACTCACAGATGATTGTCAAACGCTTCTCCTTCTCCCAGCGGAGCCGGGATGAGAGCGCCTCAGAAACCTCCACCCCCTCCGAGCACTCTGCGGCGCCATCCCCGCAGGTGGAGGTGAGGACTCTCGAGGGACAGCTGGTGCAGCATCCTGGCTCGGGCCTCCCTCGGCCAGGGCCCCGCTCCCGAGTCCCTGAGCTGGTGACTAAAAGGTTCCCGGCTGACCTGCGCTTGCCCCCCGTGGTGCCCTTGCCGCCGCCCGCCCTCCGGGAGCTGGAGCTGCAGCGGAGGCCCACTGGAGACTTCGGCTTCTCCCTGCGCCGCACGACCATGCTGGATCGGGGCCCCGAGGGCCAGGTCTACCGGAGGGTGGTTCACTTCGCTGAGCCCGGCGCGGGCACCAAGGACGTGGCCCTGGGCTTGGTGCCAGGTGACCGTCTGGTGGAGATTAATGGGCACAACGTGGAGAGCAAGTCCAGGGATGAGATCGTGGAGATGATCCGGCAGTCTGGGGACAGCGTGCGGCTCAAGGTGCAACCCATTCCAGAGCTCAGCGAGCTGAGCCGGAGCTGGTTGCGGAGTGGCGACGGACCCCGCAGGGAGCCAGCCGATGTGAGTGTCCCCCTGGGCAGCTGGGTGGGAGCAGGGGTTGGGAATCGTGCTTGGGTAGATGAATGGGGCACCCTGGAGCGGAGAAGTCGCGCCACTCCTTGGCCCCAGGGACACATGGCCTGGCCAGCTGGGAGGAGCGACCTTAGCGTGGGGTGGTCCATGGTGATACAGGCTTCAGGACACAAGGGTGAAGGGTTTGGGCACCATGTTTCCTGAGCCCTAAATCGGGGCACGGAGGCTGATGCGTGCCACTTCAGATGAGAGGCAGTCTGGACTACTAGTCCAGCCCGACATCTGGACTAAACTAGAGAATTACCATGTTATTTACACTTGAAAGAAAAAAATGAATTATTTCAAAGCAGGGCTGTCGTGGAACATCTGGGCTGTGAGGCCATTTTGTTAGCTCTTGGGTAAGATGACTTCGGACATCCTCTTGCCCTTGAATGAGGAGTTGACTAGGGGGTAAGGTTGCAGAGATAAGCAGGGGCCAGATCATGGAGGACCTTGTAAGTCATGATAGGGGTTTAGATTTTTGTCACAGTGAAATGGGACCATTGTAGGGTTTGAAGCGGGGGAGTGACTGGACCTGATTTATACAGATCACCTGGGCTCTAAGAGTCTTTATTACCTCTCCTGGGGGAAGAAAACACCTGGAAACGTAACGTATCTAGCCTACGGAAATAGTAAGACCTGACTGTCCCTGAGACCCCAGCTGTTATCCTGCCCACACAAAACGGCAGTGGGAGCGGTGACATGGGAGCAGAGAAGGTTTAGATTCTATGTATGAGAGGGTCTCCAGGGGAACAGTGATCTTTAACCCCAGGGGTCTTTTGATAGGGTGGCAACGTATCAGTTTGGAATGTTCCACCTGGAGACAGAACATGAAGGACAGGTTGGCCTCTGGCCATCCCTGTCTCCTAGCTGTGGGTTTTAGGATTGCAGAGATCTGGCCCAGTGCATAGCCTGGCCAGCACCTTTCAGCGCTAAGTGGCCAGCCAGATGTGTCAAAGTCAGAAGTGGGAGGAAATGCTAAGGAAGCAGGCAGAGTTCTGGTGCTAGCTTTCTCCCCAGGAGGGGAAGTGGATGCTCAGATGGCGGCTCAGCCTAGCAGCATGGAGGGCCTGGAGGGCCTGGAGGGCCTGGGAGTGTCAGGGTCAGAGTCTGGCAGGAAGCACTGGCAGTGGGTTCCAGACCTTCCTTTACCCTGAGCCCGGTGGAGGTCAGGCAGTTTTGCTAGTCAGGAAGGGGTAGTGAGTGGGAGGGAGCCTGGTATGGAATCCAGGGCAGGACCTGGACTCATTTATTCCAGAAACTCACATAAAGTACCTACTGCATGTCAGTCACCGGAGTAGACTGAGCTCAGGGAACCACAGTGTGGAGGGGGTGGTCTTCATCTCAGAGCCAAAGCCTATCCTATGTTGCCATGTCTGTCTACTTTCTCCCAAGCTAATGTTATTTTTAACAGATGGAATTTTCTTCTTCAAGAATGAATCCCCTGGGGGGGGGGGTTGTTGCCAGCTCCCCGCTGAACCACAGCACAGGCCTCTGTGGGGCCCTGGGCCTGGCATCCCAGATGCTATTTCGTTTTCTCTTTATAGCCTAGGGATCATCCTGGCATCTCATATTTCTCTGTGGGCCACTCTCCCTTCGCAACAGGCTGCTGCCCCTCTATCCCTGGGGAAGGGGATGGTTCAGCTTTGGAGGTGCCCGTAGAGTCCACATTCCAGCTGGGACTGGTATCCCTTGAGATGCTGGCTTGCTTTAGCCCCCGTGGGGCAAGCCCAGTGGTGCCCAGAGGACTTCTTCCCCAGGCTGATGCCTAGGGGGTCTGGCAGGGGACACAGAGCAAGCTCCATCCTCATGAGTCTCCAAGAGCCATCCGAGAGAACAGTGAGAAGCATAGGGCTGCAGAAGCCCCGCATCTTTTCCTCCCTGGCAGGTGGCAGGGACTCAGGCCACAGCAGAGAGGAGCAGACTGGGCCCGGCAGCCTGGCCTCCTGGGACAGACCCGGGGCTGGTGTGGGAGCGCTGAGGCCTCTACCACAGCTCTCTTCCTCCATCTCCTCCTCTTCTTCCCACTCCCACTCCGGCTTCTTTTCTTGGCAGCAGTTCTCAGCTCAGTTCCATGCCAAGAAGAGTCTTCCCACTTCCTCGAGGCTCCTGGGCGGGGTACCCTGACAACTCTGGCCCCATGAGGACGGCTCCTGGCGGCCACCCTGCCCGTCAGGTCATCCATCAACTGTGTCCACACATTGCCTGTCCCCAGGGAGCTCTGAGGGAACCGGCTGGCCATCTCTTCTCTCTGCACCCGGATGGAGACCAGGCCTCGTGGCTCCTCTCCGTGGCCTGTTCAGAAGGCCCCAGGGAGAGACAGCCCCTCGCATTTCCTTCTCACGTGATGTGCATCCAGAATGCGTGGCTCACACCTTCATGTGTCCCTGTAGCTGCTAGCAAGATTCCGCCGGGAGTAGGGGTGAGCCACAGTAGGGAGATAGACATGGAGCCCCAGTAGAAAGTGGGAGAAGCAGCTCTTCTTCTGCTATCTTCTATTCCACTCCACTCATTAAACAGACATTTGTTGAGCACCAACTGTGTGCTAGGTCCTGGGAGCCAGCAGTGAGCAGGATATAGCCCCAGCCCCTGGGAACTCATAGTCTAGCAGAAGAGATGGTCCAATAGCGGATGATGACAGTGCCATTTGAGGAGCTCCCCAACAGGGGCCAGTATGGGGTCCCAGGGAGCACAGAGGAGGGGACTGGAAGTCCAGCCTTGGGAGTGATCACAGGGAGAGCTGCTGTCTGGGTGGGAGATGAATGCAGGGGAGGCAGGAGGAAGGGGAAGGCTGTGAGAGACACAGACCAAGACCTGGAGGTTGGAGAGAGAATGACACATTGTGGGGGAGGGGGGTAAAGCTGGGGGGACAGTGCATGGGGAATGAGGATTGAGAGAAGCAGCAGAAGAGACCAGCAGGGGACAGGTCACGAAGGCCCTTGTGAGCCATTCTAAGGAATGTAAACTTCAAAGGGCAAGAAACCGTTTTAATCAGGGAGTGATAGGACCAGATTTTAGGAAATCTCTGGCTGCTCGTGGAGCATGCTGCTGGCTGTAGCAAGGGCCGCCGTGGGGAAAACAGTGAGGGCCCTGTCGTTGTCATCCTAGTGGAATGGAGGCGCGCACTTGAGTAGAGCCGTGGAGATGGAGAGAGATTTCAGACGTGCCTGACTAGTGTGGGGGATGGAGGAGAGGAGAGCCAAGTGGGATGTCAGCTTTGCAGGAAGATGCTAAGTTCCTTCCTTGGCTCCTCAGGGAAGGTGTTTTAGGGTATTTGGCTTTGGATCATTTACTCTTAAATTGTCTAAAGGCAAAGCGTTCCCTCAGTCTGGTGAGATGAAAGGGGGTGTTGGTACAGACGAGGATCTTAAAACCCCAGTTGGATCAAAATTCCTTTCTCCCGCTCCATGAAGCTGAGTGGGAAAGTCAAGGGCCCACTGAGAAGGACGAGGGCCTGGGAGAGAAGAGAGCCAGTCCCTTCCATTTGTATCCTCAGCGGGCCCATCGCAGGGAGTAAGGGTGTAGAATGTTTCTGCCAAGCTCGGAAAAGCCCACCTGCTAACCCCTGGCTGATGTGCTTGTCCCCCTGCCTCCAAGAGCTGGCCTGCAGGGGAGCTCCACCCAGAAAGCTCCGCTTCCCTGAGCTTCTGAAGTTGTGGTGGGAGGGGTGAGGTGGGGGTTTCCAGGAAGGCACCCACCCCCTGCCAGTCAGGCCTGCTTCCTCGGGCTCTATGTGGAGCCGTCAGGCCTTTCCCAGAGATCTGTGATACAGTTTCTTCTCCCTTTGGACCGTGGGGTTTGTACTCAAAGGCTCTAGGTCTGTGACGTTCCTGAAGAGGTTGTCATGTCCGTAGACTTGCGTAAACCACCTTTCGTAGATTTCGGTAGGTAGTCAATGCCAAGGATGATGATTTGTACCTTTCCCTCTGCCCCGTCTCTAAAGGCATCCAGGGAAGGTAATTTTGCTGCTTCCTTAATTAACCCACCCTGATGTGCTTTCCCACCGTTGCTCCTGGTAAGGTTTTCCTTCCAAGGGGAACTCACGATGCTTTTGTTCCGACCCTTTCCCTGTAGCCCTGTCCTCAGAGACAGCCAGGAAGACCTGGCATGCTGGGCGCTCCCTAGCTCTTCCCAGCATCTCGGGCCCGCAGATGGGACACCAGTGGCCTGAAAGGAGACTGGCGGGTTGGGGTTGCCTGCATCTGGGAGAAGGGCGGGGGCCCCTAGGCCAGGAAGCCCTAGACCCCTGGACAGAAGCTGTATGAGCCTCACCAACCTCGTCCCCGGGCCCCTGGGAACTTTCAGGAATGGGATCTGCGGGATTTCACGGAGAGACAGAAAATTGACCTGTTCCACGTCTGCCAGGCCAGCTTCTGAGCAATGGGCTTCCCCTGGGGCTTCTGGTGATGGTGGAGCTGCTGGGTGCTGCCTGGGCTCAGTGTTCTAGAACACCTCTGTTCCTAATGGTACTCCCGATGATCCTTGGAGGGGGTTTTGGGGTTTTGTTTGTTTGAAACAGAAAATTCTTACTTCATTTTTTCCAAAGCTTTGGGCACTTCTGATATCAATGTCACCGTGTGAGATCTTTGGCCTGGGGGCTCAGGGTAGAACCCAAACTCAGTTCTTTTGGTGATGAGGTGGCCCGTGGGGAGGTGTCGAGGGCGTGAGAGCTGGTGGGTGAAAGGTCTTTGGGAGCATTTTGGGGGTTATCTATCCTGGATTAGTGGGGTGCATGGGACCAGCAGGGCAGCATGGTGGACGGGGTCATTTCTATTCCACTAGGTCTCCCTTCTCTGTCCTCAGTGGCACATTCTGCCTTCTTCCCGATGAGCTGCTAGACAGACGGCAGCCCCAGAGTGCCCTGGCCACCCAGTCCGTGGGTGGTGGGCACGGTGCCCAGGCCACATTGAGCTGGGTGTGGGTACATGTCGTGGTCATTGGTTGTTTTC